TAAATATAATAGTAATAATAATAGTAACTATAATAGTAATAATAATGGTAAAGAAGAAGTAATAATAATTGTACTAATAATAGTAATAATGATACTAATATTAATAATAACAATAATAGTAATAATAACAGTAATAATAATTGTAACAATAATATTAATAATACTTGTAATAACTATTGTAATAATAAAAATAATAGTAATAATAATAGGAGTAATAATAGTAATAATAATAGTACTAATAATTGTAATATTAATAGTCATAATAATTACAATAATAATAGTAGTAATAATGGTAATAGTAATTGCTATAATAATAGTAATAATAGTAGTAATAATAATTTTCGTAATAATAGTAATAATAATAGTATTATTAATTGTAATAATAATAGTGATTATAGTAGTCATAATGATTGTCATAATAATAATGATAATAATTGTAATATTAATTGTTATAATAAGTGTAATAACTATCGGAATAATAATTTGTTTTAATAATATTGATAATAGTGGTAATAATGATTGTTAAATGATAGTAATAATAATAGTAATAATAATTGTTATAATATTAATGATAATAATATTAATAATGATAGCGATAATAATAAAAATATTAATAGTAATAATAATAGTTATAATAATAGAAATAATAATGGTGATAATAACGGTAATGATTATGGTGATAATAACTGTAATAATAATAGTAATAATAATAGTAATAATAATAGTAATAATAACAGTAATAGTACCATTAATAATAATAGTAATATTGTTAGTACTAATAATAGAAATAATAATTTTAATTATAATTGTAATATTTATAGTAGTAATAATAGTAATAATAATAGTAACAATAATTCTAATAATTATATTATTAATAATAGTAATTATAATACTAATATTAATTGTAATAATAGTAGTAATAATAATTGTAATAATAATAGTAATAGTATTAGTAATGTTAATAATAATTATAATAATAGTCTTAATAATAATTGTTTTAATAATAGTAATAATAATAGTAATAATAGTAGAAATAAAGATAGTAATAATAATAGTTATTATTATAGAATTAATGACAGTAATAATAATAGTAATAAAAATTGTAATAATAATTGTAGGAACAATAGTAATGATAATACTAATAATAGTAGTAGTAATAATATTAATAATAGTAGTAATAGAAATATTAAAAGTAATAATAATAATAATAGTAATGATAATAGTATTAGTAGTAGTAATAATTATAGTAATAATAATTGTAATAATAACAGTAATAATAATAATAATAATAGCAATATAATTGTAATAATAATAGTAATAATAATAGCAATAATTATAGTAATGATAATAGTGATAATAATAGTAATAATAATTGTAATAATAATTGTGATTTTAATATTAAGAATAATAGTAATAATAACAGTAATAATAGTAGCAATAATAATAGTAATAGTAAAACTAATAATAATTATGGAAACAATAACGGTAATAATAATAGAAATAATAATAGTAATGATATTACACATATTAATAGTAATAATAATTGCAATAATAATTGTAATAATAGTTGTTATAATTATAGAAATAATAATAGTAATAATAATAATTGTAATAATAATAGTAATAATTCTTATTATAATAATTGTATAATAATAGTTTAATAATTTCAAAATAATAGTAATAGTAATAGTATTAATAATAGTAATAATAACAGTAATAACAATTGTAATTATAATAGTAATAAAATTTGTTATAATAATACTAATAATATTAGTTATAATAATTGAAATAGTAATTCTAATAATAATAGAAATAATAATAATAATAATAATAATAATAATAGCAATTACAACTGTAATAATAATAGTAAAAATAATAGCAATAATTATAGTTATAATAATTGTGATAATAATAGTGATAATAATTGTAATAATATTGTAATATTAATAGGAACAATAATTGTAATAATAATAGTGATAATATCTATAATTATAATAGTAATAATACTAGTAATAATAATTGTAATAATAATAATATGAAATGTAATAATATTAGTGATATTAGTTTTAATAATAATAATGGTAGGAGTAATAATAATAGAAATAATAATAGCGATAATAATAGTGATATAATTAATAATGATAATCGTAATAATAACAGTAATAATAATAGTAATAATAAATGTAATAATAATATTAATAGTATTACTATTAATAATAGTGATTAAAATGGAAATAATAGAAGTATTAGTAACAGTGATAATAACTGTAATAGTAATAGTAATAATTATAATAATAATAATTGTAGTAATAATAGTATTAATAATAGTAACAATAAAAGTAATAATAACAGTAACAATAATTATAATATTAAGGATAATAATAATAATAACAGTAATAATAGTAGTAATAATAATAGTAATAGGAAAAGTGATAATAATAATGGAAATAATTACAGTAATAATAATAGAAATAATAATAGTAATGATATTACTCACATTAATAGTGATAATAATTGCAATAATAATTGTAATTATAGTTGTAATAATCATAGTAATGATAATAATAATAATAATTGTATTAATATTAGTAATAATACTGGTAATAATAATTGTAATAATAATAGTAAAAATTATATTAATAATAATAGTAATAATAATAGTAATAATAATAGTAATAGTAATATTATTATTAATAGGGACAATAATAGAATTATAAGTATAATATTAATAGTAATAATAACAGTAATAATAATTAATAATAGTAATAATAATGATAATATTAATAATAATAATAATATTAATTTTTATAGTAATGGTAATAATAATAGTAATGATATTTGTAATAGTAATAGTAAAAATAATAGTGATAATATTTGTAATAATATTAGTGATAATAATAGTATTAATAATAGTGATTATAATAGTAATAATAATTGTGATAATAATTGTAATAATAATAGTAATAATAATTGTAATAGTAAGAGTAATAATGATACTAATAGCAACGGTAATAATAACTGTAATAATAATAATAATAATAATAGTAGTAATAATTGTAATCATAATGGTAATAATATTAGTAGTATTAATAGTAATAATGATTGTAATAATTATAGTAATAATAAATGTAATATTAATAATAATAAAAATAGTCATTATAATTGTAATAATAATAGTAAGTATTATATTAATAATAATAGTAATAAGAGTAGTAATAATAATAGTGATAGTAATAGTAATAATAACACAAACATTAATAGTAATTATAATTATAATACTAATAGTAAGAAAAACAGTAATAATAATTGTAATTATAATAGTAATAATAATATTTATAATATTTGTAGTAATATTAATGATAATAAACGTAATAATAATAGTGATAATAATAATAATAATTATTGTGTTAAGAATAATAATAGTAATAGTAATAATAATTGCACTAAGAATAGTAATAATAATATTATTAACAATAGTAATAATAATAGTAATAATAAGATTAGTAATAATAGTAATAATAAGTGTAGTCATAATAGTAATAATAAGAATAGTAATAATAGTAATAATAATAATAGTAGTAATAATAATAGTAATAATTATAGTCTTAATAATAGTAAAGAAAATATAAATAATAATTTAAATAATAATATTACTAATAATAATAATAATAATAATGGTAATAATAATAGTTATAATAATAGCAATAATAGTAATTATAATAATAATTTTAATAATAGTAATAATAATTTTGATAATAGTAGTAATGATATTTGTAATAATAATAGTAATAATAATAATAATAGTAATAATTATAATAATATTAATAATAATAGTGATAATAATACTAATAATAATTGTTATAATAGTAGTAATAATAATAGAAATAATAATTGTAAGAATAATAGTAATAATATTAGTAATAATAATTGTAATACTAGTAGTAATAATTATAGAAATAATAGTTTTAATACTATTAGGGATAATAATAGTAATAATTATAGTAATATGATTTGTAATAATAATTGTAATAATAATATTAATAATAATTGTAATAATAATAGTAATAATAATAGTAATAATAATTGTGATAATAATAGTGATAATAATATTAATATTGGTAGTAATGTTCATAGTAATAATAATTGTTATTATAATAGTAATAATAATGGTAATAATAACAGTAACACTAGGCCCTACCGTCTAATCTCATATCCATCCTAGTGGCATAGTAAAACCATCCCGGCACCGCCATGTGGTATTACTTCAGGATGGCGCTACTGCTTCGTGTCTCTTAACTTGACTACGTCTTCGGCTCTACGTGGCAGGAACCAGGTGCAATTTTGGTGGCTCGTCTATGTGCCACCCATCTCCTTCTTCTTCTTGCTTAAGATTGACCTGACGTACCAGGCCACCTTGGTCCAGTCCTTCTGCTTTCGCAGCATTTTCTCGACTACGTTGTCCGGCGAGATGTCTCCGAGGTCATGTTCCAAGACAAGATGTTCGGCGCACCACCGATTAAATAAAAAAATCGTGTGATGGACGTCGTCATTCATCGAGTCCCTATAGGGGCAGTTGGCGTCTGCTACATTCCTGATTCTTGCCAGGTAGGAGCGGAACAAGCCATGCCCTGTCAGGAATTGGGTGAGGTTGAAATCGACTACTTCCGCCTCCCGATTTATACAGTTGTCTAGCTGACTGATAAGTCGGGCAGTCCAGCTGCCCTACGTTCCTGCTCCCATCTATTTTGCAAGGCCTTGATGCTGATAGACCTGGCGAGCCTTGATGCCTCATCCTTTCCCAGGACACACTTTTGCTGGTGGACGAATTTCCTCTCCTGGGCTAATAGATCGATTAGGATTACCCCGGCGACAACTAGCACTGCCGGCTCTGAGACCGTGCGGTAGGAGCATGCGATTGGGCGGGCGCCCCTCCTCTGTATCGCGGTTCTGCTCTTGCGGGATTTCTCTTTTCGCAGCGCCTCAGCCCATACATCCGCACCTTACAGCGTCACTGCTTCGGCGGCACGCATCAATAGTCTTCTCATGCTCGGACGGGGACCGTTGACATTGGCCATGAGCTTGCCCAGTGAGGCTACTACTTTTGCCGCCTTGTCGTCTGCCCTGATAATGTGCTTTCCATAGTTAAGCTTGTTGTCAAGCATAACCCCAAGATATTTGACATCCGAATTAGTCTGGACCGCCGCGTCTCCTACAATGAAGCTGCGCAAGGTGTTGATGCGCTTCCCCGTAAGTGGCACGACCTCCGTCTCCTGGACTGCTAGAAATAGCCCGTGGCTTCCATCCAGGAAGAAACTCTCCACATGACCTGATGGAGCAGCAACTGTGCCCCCTCCGTGTCTCTTGCGGTAATGACAACTGCAATGTCATCAGCGTTCACAACCAAGAAAGTACCTTCTGGGAGTGCCATACGAAAGATACGGTCGTAGAATATATTCCATATATCCGGTCCCAGTATGGAGCCCTTGGCTGCCCCCAATGTCAATTCGAAGCTTCTTGTACCATCACTCGTGTCGTATACTAGGAAGCGCTCATTTATATAATCGTTAAGAATTCGGAGTAGGTACTTTGGGACGCCGAAGTTACGTTCGAGCGCTTTCCTTGCCAGTTCCCACTTGACGGAGTTGAAGGCATTTCTCACGTCTAAGGTGGCCAGCAGGCACAGAGGTCCAGTTCGATAATTGCTTCGCTCCATCATTTTAGAGGCCGTGACTACCTCCTGTACTGCGTGGATGGTGGAGAGGCCGGATCGGAATCCGTACTGGCGGCCGGCAAGATCTCCCGCTGCCTTTACGGCTGCGTGCAGCCTTGGCATTAGCAGCTTCTCCAGGAGTTTTCCAGCCGTATCGAGCATACAAATAGGCCTGTATGATGAAGCTGCCCCTACTGGACCCTTACCCTTGCTAATGAGCACAAGCCTCGTTTTCTTCCATGGAGCGGAGAAGATGCTCCCCTGAGGCACGTGTTATACATGTTCTGCAATAGCTCAGGGTGACTTTGCGCGACGACTTTAATTATTTCTGCTGGAAGTCCGACTGGACCTGGTGCTTTCTCGTTCCGCATAGAAGATGCGGCCCTGAGTAGCTCTTCTTCCGTGAATTGCGGTACCTCGATTATGCCGGGTGCATCCAAGCTGATCTCTCTCTTCGGCTGTGAGGGGAATAGAGTATGCACGATCTGATCCAACGTCCTTGCGTCCTGAGGGTTCCCTTGCGTGTTAGTCCCCAGCTTGCGAGTGACGATGAGGTACCCTAATCCCCACAGATTCTGGTCGACATCCAGGCACAGTTCCTTCCAGTCCGTCGTTGACTGGCCTTGATGGTCCTCTTCAGGGCTTTCTCGGCTGCTTGATAGTCTGCGTCCAAAGGAGCAGTGTCGTGGTCGCATTTCTTCGCTCGTTGTGCTAAACGGCGTAGCCTTAAGCACATCTTACGAAGATCTGCGATCTCGTTCTTCCACCAGTATACAGGGCGTCTCTGCCGTCTCGTGCCATTCTTTGGCAACGCTATCGCGCAAGCCATTTGGATGAGCTGCATGGTTGCTGCGCTCGTCAACCTAGCTTGTGCGGGTGGCGATAGACACGCGGAAGTACTTTGTTAGGATCTCCATCCTTCCTCTATGACCGAAGACAGCCTCTCTCGTACCATTCTTGCAATGTTCCACCGGGGGGGTCGCTTTACACTTGTCACGGCTGGCCTCCTATAATGTACATCGAATAGGATGTACTGATGATCGCTTCCGGTATAATCTTCGATCACCTGCAAGCCTGCAACTCTTGTCATAAGGTGTTTGTTGGCTAGAGAGACATCCGGGATCGTCTCTCTGTAGCCAGGCCTGCGGAATGTTGACGTCGAACTTGTGTTGAGTACTGATAGCTCCCGTCTCGACGCCACCTCCATGATACGTCTTCCTCTGGAGTCCGGCCTGATCTCCCCTCATTCGAGAGCTTTGGCATTGAGGTCTCCAGCCACAATAAGAACCCCTTGCATTTCCCGCAGCGCGTTTTCCAGATCATCCAGTTTGATCTGGAAGTCGTCTATCCGGTCGTTCGGAGTAAGATATACACTGACATAAGTCGTCGAATTTTGTCTCACCTAAACGTAACCACGTCCAGATCCTTGGTCCGACACATGTATTAGTCGGGGATCTGGGATCCAGATTGCCGCGGTGCCCGATTCGTCTGCGTACCATCCTACTCCTGCTCTGTCCTGGTACTGTTCGCTGATTAGAACAATATCAGCTTTTTTCTCAGAGCAAAGCTGGGCTAGAAGGTGATGCGCCGTCCTGCTCCTATTCATTTTACCCTGAAGTGCTCTCATACTTTTTATTCTACTTCTTTGCTGTTGCAAGGGTCTCCTGGGAAGCTTTGCAGGCCCATGATCCCGTCAGGTGCTTCCTAGTTTCAACATCGCTATTTGAGCACAAGAAGCAAGTAGGCTCGCTGACCTTGCACTTTTTGATCTTGTGCCCCGTGTCGCCACAATAATAGCAAACTTTACTGCGATCAGCTCCCTTGCACGAGGCACTATAGTGACCATAGTCGAGACAGCGGAAGCATCGCCTCACTTCTGCCCTTCGCCTGACCCTGCAGCTGATGAAACCAATCAGCGCACGACCGTCCATTAAAAGCTACGCAGCTGCTTCCTCTTCTATTTTGACGAGGGCCAGGCGTTGTTGTCTTGCGTTGGGGTTCGTCATCTTAATTTCGATATTCCCCGCGTAGCCTGGCAGGGTCCTCTTTAGGGCCTCCTCGACTTCTATCGACGAGGTACAGCAGTCACAGTCCCGTATCTCCAGTGTAGCTCTAGGGACCAGTTCCGTGATGCTGCTCGTTTCTCCTACATCTTTTCTCAGGGTTTCCGCGAATGAGGCCCTGATTTCCACGGTGGTCTTTTTTAGTTCGAGGAGAACCCCTCCGGTTCTAGTCTGCCGGACCGATCTAGTGTCTACCCCTGAGGCGCTGGTCTTGATGAGCTGTTGGATGGCTCCGACCTCGTCTGTGTAAGATTTACCTTTCGCAGGTTTCAGGAGGATCGCCTCCGGATTCGTTCTCTTTCTCGGCCTGACCTCCGATTTGCTCGACTTCTTTTTCTCCTGCTGTGGGTGTTTCGTCGCCATTGTCTCTGGTATTTCTTTATTTCTTTTCTTCCTAACGAAAAGAAATAAGATTCCACTTGGTGGCATTGGTCGTCGTCGCCCTCTGCCTTGGTTTTTGAGTCTTTCTTTGTGTAACTGCGGCGGGCTTGTGGCTACTCTTTTAATCGCACCAGTATCTGTTATAGAGTTTGCCCTGAGGCTCTGAGAAAATCGGGCGAGGGTTCTCGCTCCATTATTGACCTTTTTTTGAGATTTATACATAAACTCGAGACTGTCAATGATTACCTGAAGTTCTGGGAGCCCTTGCTTAATAACGCTGTTCACGTTCGGCTCTCTAATAGCCGACTTCATTTTGGCAAGGAGTGATTTCGCTTGCGCGAATTTCTCACTCTCCCCATCTTGGGTTGTCCACTTCGCAGACTGGATAGGTGCGGTCAAGCCGGAGAGCCGAAAGTCTTCAACGGCCCTGGCAGGCCTCTGCCACTTCTCAAAGTGTCCTTCATATTTTACCCTTCATGGCAATTTCATCACACCGCAGGCCAGATCGACTACCTGTGGTCTACTTCCTGATGCATTATCTAGAGCTTGGGCCAGGTTGACTACCCCAAACACATTGCAGTTGATAGATGACGACAGCGGGTAGCCTGCCAACCACCAACAGACACCGCCGTGGCGTGGGTGTTCCTCCCACGAACGCTATTATTTTTCGCTGTCCAATCAATCATGAATAATGTACTTTTGGGAGGCAAGCTTCCCAATAGGAAGGAAAGGAACGGAAGGAAGCTAGAGAGTAAGAGAAAGAATAGAAAAATATATGATAAGAGAAAAAAGGAAGGAATAGCTGTTCATGATCATTCACAAGTCATTCACACAGTCCCCTTTAGTCGCCACTTACGACAAGCAGGGAGTACTTTGGGAGTATTCTACTTCCCCCTACCCACTGAGGGAAGAAATAATAATAGTAATAATAAATATAGTAATAACAGTAATAATATTTTTAATAAGAATAGAGCTAATAATAGTAATAATAATAGAAATAATAATAGTAATGAGAATAATAATAATAATAATAATAATAATAATAATAATAATAACAATGACAGTAATAATAATTGTAATCATAAGGGTAGTAATAATAGCAATAATAATTGTAATAATAATAGTATAAATAATAATAATAATAATAGTAATAGTAATTATAAATGTAATAATAATTGTAATAATAATAGTAATAATGATAGAAATAATAATAGTAATAATAACAGTAATAATAATAGCAATAATAATAATAATAATAATAATAATAATAATAATAATAGTAATATTTATAGAAGTAATAATAATAATAATAATTATAATAATAACAGTAATAATAAATGTAATAGTAATAGTTATAATAATTGTAATATTAATAGTAATTGTAATTGTAATAAAAATAGCAATAATAATAGTACTAACAATTACATAATAACAGTAATAATAATAGTAAAAGTAATAGTAATAATAAGATTAATAATAATTGTATAAATAATAATAATAATAATAATAATAGTAATAATAATTATAATAAAAATAGTAATAACAATAGTATTAACAATACTATTAATAGTAGTAATAATATTAGTAACAATAACAGTAATAATAATAGTAATAATAATCTTAATAATAACAGCAATAATAATGGTAACAATAATACTAGTAATAATAGAAATAATAATAGAAATAATCATAGTAATGTAAATAGTAATAATAATAGTAATAATAATAGTAATAACAATAATAATAATAACAATAATTATAAATCTTATATTAATAGCAGTAATAATAGTAAAAATAATAAAAATAATAATAATAACAAGAATAGTATTAATAATATTAATAATAGTAACAATAATAATAGTAATAATATTTGTAATTATAGTTGCAATAATAATACTAATTATGATAGTAATAATGACATTAATAATAATAATAATATAGAAGTAGTAAAAATAATAGTAAAAATAATTGTATTAATAAGAGTAATAATAATAGTAATAATAATAGAAATAAAAATTGTAATCAATATGGTAATAATAATAGTAATAATAATAGTAATAGTAATTGTAATAATAATAATAATACCAGTAATAATAATTGTAATAATAGTAATAATAATAGCAATAATAAAAGTAATTATAATTGTAATAAAAATATTAATATTAACCGTAATAATAAATGTAAAAATAATAGAAATAAAACAGATAATAATAATTGTAATCACAATAGTAATAATAATAGTAATAATAATTGTAATATTAATTGTAATAATTATAGTAATAATAATAATATTAATTGTGATAATAATAGTAATAGTATTTGTGACAATAATAGTAATATTAATTGTGATAATAATAGTAATATTAATAGTAATAATATTAATAATAATAATAGCAATAAGAATAGTAGTCATAATTTCAATAATAATAGTAAAAATAATAGTAATAGTAATTGTAATAATGAAAGTAATTATTTTTGTTATAATTATAGTAATAATAATAATAATAATACTAGCAAAAAAATTGTAATGATAATAGAAATAATAATAATGAGATTTGTAATAATATAAGTGATAATAATTGAAATAATAATAGTGAAAATAATAGTAATAATAATTATTATAATTATAGTAATAATAATTATAATCAATATTGTAATAATAATCGTAATAATAATTGTAGTAACAATAGTAATAATAATAATAATAATAATAGTAATAATATTAATAATAATACTAAAAAATATGTATTTATAATAATATTAATAATAATAGTAACAGTAATAATAATAGTAGTAGTAATAATAACAGCAATAATAATATGCATAGTAGTAGTAATAATAATGGTATTAATAATATTAATAATAGTAATAATAGAAATAATAATAGCATTATAATATTAATAAAAGTAGTGGTAGTAATAGGAATAAAAATTGTAATAATAATAATAATAATAATAATAATAATAATAATAATAATAATAATAATTATACTAATTATAATAGTGATAATAACTTTAATATTAATAGTAATAATATCAGTAATTATAATTATATTAATAATTGGTAATAATAATTGTAAAATAATTTTAATAAGAATTGCGGTAATAGTAATTATAATACTAGTAATAGTTATAGTTATAATGATAATAATAGTAATTGTAACAATATTGTTATATTAATAGTAATAATAGTTGTTGTAATAGCAGTAATAATAATAGTATTACTAATTGCAATAATAATAGTAATAATAATAGCATTAATAGTAGTAGTAATAATTGCAATAGTAATAGTAATAATAATTCCAATAGTAATCGTAATAACAATACAAGCTACAATAGTAATAAAATAGTAATAATAATTGTAATAATATTTGTAATAATATTAGTAATATGAACATTAATAATTATTATAATAATAATAGTAATAATAAAAGTAATAATAGTTGTACTAATAGTAGTAATAATAATAGTAATAATAATAGTAGTAATAATAATAAGAATTGTCATAATAATTGTATTAAGAATAGTAATAATTATTATAATATAATATTAATAATAATAGTAATAATAATAGCTATAATAAATGTAATATAACTACAAATAATAATCGTAAATATAACAGTAACAATAATAGTAGTAATAAATATAATAATAATAATAATAATAATTGTAATAATAATAATAATAATAATAGTAATAAATATATTTATAATAATAATAATAATAATGGTAATAAATATATTTATAATAATAATAATAATAATAGTAATATATATATTTATAATAATAATAATAATAATAGTA